AATACGGATGAGAAAGTAGGTGTACAGTAACCCAATGCTTACAGGTAGCCTTTACTTTGAAATTCCTTTACTGGCTTTACATAAAATACTTTATATCTATATATCACAAATCCCACTTATGTACTTTATAATAGGTGAATTTCTCTTCACTATGGAGCAGCTAGAAGAATAAAGTAATGTACTATAACATACACATACAATTACAACATTTACAATTGTTCAGTTATCAAGAACTTTCCCACTATCAAGTGACTATTTAAAAGTAACAATTCTTTACTAAGCCTTATCATAGTTTTAAGATAATTCTTATTAAGTTTCATAGTTCTATTCACTGGCAGTTTCTCAAGTCAGTATCCATCCCATAACATGTACTATCAAAATTGAAAACAATACTCTGGATCTGATCTAATAAGTCTTGAGTAATACCTTATTACCTGCACATGCAAGTTTTACATGATGAAGAGATACTCCTTTCAAGATACTTTTACCTTGTTAGTGAAAGATAAGAAAAAAGCTTTCTGTTTTCAGATGTTTAAAAGGATATGTTTCCTACTTATGTTTGTGAATGGCTTGTTTATTTATGTATTTATTCACAGTATGTGTGCACAATAGACTCACAGTTGTTTTCTTGGTTAGAGGACTGTGATAACATCCTCCTTCAAGTTTTTGTTAATAGTTATGACAGTCAAACATATTCTGTAGAATAATACTTTCCTTAGTTTTATGTGATTTTTAATACTTTAATAGCACAAAGGAGGTCTCTCCATATGAAACACATTACAAGTGTTGTATAAAGCAGTAGATCCCAATTTTATATTTTCCTTTTTGATTAATGCAACACATAATGTAGTAGTTTTAAAGTTTTTAAAGGATGGAAAATAAATGGATGACAGGAGGCCATTCAATAAAACAAAGCAACACAAACTTTCCAAGCAGTAAAAATTACATGATTAAATATATTCTATAAATTAATTCATTCACAGGGTTTTCATTATAAAATATATATTACATAAGATTTAAGGACATCAAGAGACTTGTTGACCCACCAAGGCTGTTCCATCTACTAGACTGAACTTTGAAAGAAAAGTAAAGTAAAATAAAAAAAAACCTAGAAAGCCAACCGTTATGAGTTGAATAGTTATGAAGCCTTCTCTTAAAATTTTCTGCATCTACCACATCTGAAGTCAACCCACTCCAAAAGTAAACCACTCTGTTATAAAAACAAAACTGTCCAAGTTGAAATCACTCTTACCTTGGCAAAATTTATATTTATGTTCTTTTGTTCTAACCATTTCACAAATTAAGTACACAGAAAAAGGAAGTATTGACACTATCAATTTAAAATTCAATAGGTGACACTACTAAACTAGGCAGGTAATTCTGTTGGTGTGAGATGTAGCTTGGGCTAAAGGAACAAATTACTGTTTGACATATGTTACATTTTCTTTGTACACTTAAAAGCATTAAACATGACTTCAAAATGATATCAAAGCAGCTTTTCATAAGGCAGAGGTTCAAAAAATGTTGCAGTTCAAGTGATGTGGTTACAGACTTTACTCCACGATAAAAAAAAAAAAAAGAGTAGATGTTCAGAAAGGCCTTATATAAAACCAAA